AGTTGTATACAGAACTTCTTTCAGTATAAGAGATATCACAATAGGTCAATTTGTTACGGACAACATCCATAGCATCACAATTACTTTATTTTAAAAGACGCTATTTTTCCGTAACAAAAGGATGAAATGACGTAACAAAATTTGGTTTTGGATATTTGTTGTAACGACCGGTTGCATGACCATAAGAAAGGAAATTTTTATTACAGGTACAATGACGTAACAAAAGGTTGAAATGATGTAACAAAAAGTGTTTTATAGATGTTTGTTGTTACAACCGATTTCGTGACCATAAGAAAGTATATTTTTATTACGGATTCAATGGTATAACGAAAAATCGTAACAAAAATAGTACTTGGACCCACGGTCACTCTAAGTTTTTTGTAACATAAGAATCTTTCGTAACAAATATCGCCAAAAAACTGTCACACGCGCCGAAAGCCGGACTTTTCTTTACGAGGGAAAATTCATCACAAACATCGTAAGAAAAACGTTGCCGTATGGAGCGTTGACCGATAGTAATAGTTACAAAAACATGCGTGGCAAAAAACATTCGTTACGTAAGTATACATTACGGATAAAAGCCATCACTAAGGCGTAGCAAATACACATATTGCATGAAAAAAGGCTTTTTGTTATGATTTTTCAACCGTAGTAAAAAACTATTTTTTTTGGTAGTGTTATACTGCACTTCTTTTTTCATTTTCTTTTTTTTAGTCCTCCCTACCCACCCACTTCGGTGTAATTGCCTAAACTCGGTCATTTTTTTTTCACTCAAAATCGAAGCCTCTGCTCGCCCCTTGTTTGCCAGTCTCGAAGACTCATCCAGCCGCCGGTTGCCAATCTTGAACAACCATCTCTCCCCTGCGAAATTGATTCTGCCACCGCACGTGTTGTGCAATGTCTCCGGCGAAAAAAACGGATGTTAGAGTTTTCGAAGGTTAATAACTTCGTTACGAATGGGTCTTTTTTTTCAGACATGAAGCAGTTAGAATTATATGAATTATATATTGAAGTTTTCAAGCATCCAATTATTTTCTAGACTCTGGATGAAATTTTAAACAGAAGTTAGGATCAAAGTTTTTTCGGAGTTGCTTTTATTTTTTATTTATATATTTTGAAACTTCAGACACATAATAACAATCAGTATACACAAATCCCTAAATTGTAGGTGTAACACCCCCAGTTGGCTCAAACTGGAAATGCTACCGCCACACTGCATCATGATATCGTCATCTGCTACTTCAGGCCCCACAATACAGTGTTAAGGCTAAAATTAACCATAAAAGTGCATTATTACATAACAAAATCTGACTTATGAATATTTACAAAACACACTCCTAAACAAGAGGTTTTTCCGGTTAAAAATTTACATATAATACAATAGATGTAAGTTCACTCACTCAGCCCGTCTTTCTATATCCCGAGACTTCCCCTGTCTTGAAACAAATATTTTTCTTAAAAGCAGTCTATAATTAAATCCATTTTAAGAACTAACGTGAAATATGTCATTTCATACCTTTTAAAATAAAGTCTAATTCCTTTCAATCATAAAATACGTGTCATATGATACCAATAGTGAAATGATGCAACAAAGATATCAAACTAGACAACAATGCACATGCACAAATCTATATACATCCGTCGAAATGAGCAGCCGGAATAACCTCGGCTCCATAATAATAGGCTCACTGCGTCTGTCTACGTGAGCAGCCGGAATAACCTCGGCTCCATAATAATAGGCTCACTGCATCTGTCTAAGTGAGCAGCCGAAATAACCTCGGCCCCGTAATAACAAGCTCACTAGACCATCATCAATAAATAGCTGGAAAATCCTCGGCTCAAGGAAGGACCTGATAAACCCATAATACTATAACGGTCATCCGGTCACTTTCATATACCCACAATACGACTCCCACAATCAATACATGGATAGCCGAATGTTGTTGCCGTTAACCACAAGACGCCCCATAGTCTGTGATAGCGAAGATAGGACCCCCACTGACTAGCCATATCCCGTGTGATGTAGTAGAATCCGTGCAACCTAGAATCACCCAAGGGAAACCCGAAAACTCTAATCCTCATCGCGCGCCCTAACGGGAACACGTTTAAAGTTACGCATATGATCCTAAACTACCGGTAGACCTCACCAGTGATCAGTCCAATGAGTGGAATAACACGTAACACGAATGATTAGACCAAATACGTCTCAACTACCATGTGTCTAATCCCTGAATGACCGTGCGACTAAGTCACCCAGTTGTCCGACTACTATCGTCCACTATCGCCAAAGTGTTACAGTACATCGGGGTCGAATATCCTAACACCAAATGATGCCATCCCCTAGCACTACCGCACACGGCGACTAGACGATAGATCCATAATATATATCCGATAAACCGTGCAATATGTGGGCAACATGCCAAATAAGTGAATTTACTGAAAAGGGCTGGTGAGACAGCTCACCTATCCTCCTTTTCATAAATTCACCAACGCGATCAAATACGTTTATCAAATACCATAAACTGTGAAGTCTCCCACGTGCATACGCACACACACATATATATATAAATATATACATGCACTGACAAAATGATTCACATAATATCACATTAACATATTAATCAGAATTTCATGCAATATGCAAACCTAATTTCTTAAAATTAGATTTAATTCATTATTGCTTACCTCTTATCGACACTCCCTATCTTTTGCAATCTCACCCAAATCTCTTTCAACGTACACCTGCCCCATTATTTACTCAAATCATATGAGCTATATGATTATTCACATGAGCTACCTGTTTATTCAAAAGCTAATTTCTATAATTAGCTCGTTGGGTTTCAAATTTTTATATTTAGTAGAATACGATATTCTAGTTATAAAACTCTTATATCTCATAATATTTATATTGCCCGATTATTAAATAAAAATACTTACAGATATGAATAAACATGCAGGTGCAGTACACTGCCGTTTTCAATTCGGCTCGGATCGATACGAAATTCTCAAAATATAATGCTAGGATTATGAATAGACTATCAGCTAAAGAAATTAGTCGATTAAATAGCCAAATAACTGATTATGAATTTTTTGAAGCATTTCTAGTTTAATATCCCCAATATCAAAATTTATATTAAAATTTATAATTAAATTTTACGTATAACAAGGAATACAATACCGAAGTCGGAATCAAAATCGGACGGCTAAATCTTTTTCTTTCTTCTTTTTTTCTTCTTCCTTCTTCTCCTTCGCGTTTATTCTTCTGCCTTCCTAGGAAATGATAACCTTGTTTTGGGACGGACGAAAATGAAAAATGATAACCTTTCGGAGGGAGTATTATATTATTATTGTTATTATTATTATTATCATTATTATTATAAACATTATCTTCATCTTCATCACCTGTATTATTATTATTATTATATTATTATTAATATATATAATATATTTTATATTTATCCTCATCGATATTTATTCGTTTAACAGTTTTCATAATTATAACAAATATAAAAAATAGGAATAAAATTTGTTTCAGAATAGTAATTTCTTGATCCCAAAATATTATAAAAATATTTTTTTTGCTATAATAATGTTATTTTATACACTCCAAAATCGGGGCATTACAATTCACTGCCCCTTAAAAAAAATTTTGTTCCCGAAATCTAAATTCAAACGCATAACAACACTACTTAATTAAACAAATGTGGGTATGCTTTGAACATCTCTTGGTCTACTTCCCACGTGGCCTCTTCCGCTCTATGCCGGGACCACATTATTTTCACCATACGAATATCTCGGCTCCTCATGGTTCGAACCTTTGTGTCCATGATACAAAGAGGCATTTTCTCATACAAAAGATTCTCATTTAGCTCTAACTCATCCGGAGATAAAATATGAGAATGATCTGCGACATACCTACAAAGCTGTGATACATGGAACACATTATGAATTCGTTCCATGGAATTAGGAAGTGCTAACCGATAAGCCCAATCCCCAACTTGATCGAGGATTTCATAGGGTCCAACATAACGCGGACTCAATTTTCCTTTAATTCCAAACCTTCTAATACCTTTCATTGGAGATACTTTCACCCGGACGAAATCTCCACTTTGAAATTGACCTTCACGTCGGGCTTTATCGGCATAACTTTTTTTGCGATCTTGAGCTATCTTCATCTTCTCTCTGATAACTTGAATCTTATTTTTTAATTCTTCGATCATTTCTGGACCTAATATCAGTCGATCACTCATGTCATCCCAACTTAAAGGAGTCCTGCATTTTCGTCCATAAAGATCTTCAAAAGGAGCCATTCCAATACTTGTTTGATAACTATTATTATATGAGAATTCCACTAAATCCAAGTGGTCCTCCCAACTTCCTTGAAATTTTATTGCACAAGCTCTTAGCATATCTTCCAGAATACGGATAGTTCTCTCTGATTGACCACCAGTCATTGGATGGAATGCAGTACTCATATGCAACTGAGTACCAAAGGCTTCTTGCCATTTTTGTCAAAATCGAAATTGAAAACGTGGATCAGGATCCGATATGCTTACCTCAGGAATACCGTGTCGTTTAACCACGTGATGAACATATAATTTGGCCAACTTTTGCATACTCCAAGTCATACATACTAGGATGAACACTGCTGACTTGGTCAATATATCTATAATCACCTAAATTGCATCTGTTCCCGACTTCGCCCTTGGAAGTCCTGTCACAAAATCCATTGCCATAGAATCCCATTTCTAGAGCGGAACTTCTAAAGATTGTAGCAACCCCATTGGTCTATGATGTTCTGCTTTCACCTTTTGGTAGTTTAAACATTGTGCAATAGATTTGGCTACATCCTTCTTCATGCCCTTCCGCAAAAATTGTTGACGTAAGTCTTGATACATTTTAATCCCTCATGGATGCACTGAATATGGTGTATTATGAGCCTCACTCATAATTTGCTCCAAATCGCTTCGGTTCTTTGGGGTACACCACCTCCCATGGAATCAAACACTCCCATCTGAAGCAATATTAAAGTTTTGAGTCTGACCGTACTGAACTTTTATAGCCAGCTCGACCATCTTATTATCTTCCATTTGAGCCGCTCTAATATGATCATAAATTTCAGACTCAACTTGCATCATTTGCAAATATCCCCGCGTCATGCCCCGTCCAAGTACTTCAATTTCCATCCGTGCTAAATCTTGACACAGTTCATCGGCAACTGACATAAAACCCAACTTATGCCTTGGTTTTCGACTCAAGGCATCAGCTACAACATTTTGTTTGCCTTCATGATATAGAATTTCAAGATCATAATCCTTCACCAATTCTAACCATCTTCTTTGTCTTAAATTTAATTCTCTTTGGGTGAAGATATATTTCAGACTATGATGGTCACTAAATATTCTACAATGGGCACCATAAAGATAGTGCCTCAAAATCTTCAAAAGAAACACAACTGCTGCCATCTCCAAGTCATGTGTAGGATAATTCTCTTCATGAGGTTTTAGTTTTCGTAACGCATAAGCAATAAACTCTTTGATTCTGCATTAAGACGTATCCCAATCCCTTTTTCTCGAAGCATCATTATAAACTTCAAAATCCTCACCCTCTACTGCTAAAGCCAAAACTGGTGTTGAAGTTAATCGATATTTCAATTCTACGAAAGAGTACTCACACTTACGATCCCAATTAATCATTTTGTCCTTCTTCAACAAATTAGTTAATGGCTTCACAACCTTCGAAAAATGAAGAACGAATCTTCGGTAATACCCTGCCAAACCCAAAAAGCTCCTTACTTCTGATTGATTGGTAGGTCTTGGCTAATCCGAGATTGCCGCAACTTTAGAAGGATCTACTGAGATACCTTTACCAGAAACTACATGCCCCAAGAAAGCAACCTTTTTCAACCAAAACTCATATTTGGATACCTTGGCATATAACTTCCTCGCACGCAGTGTATTTAGTGTCACACGCAAATGTTTTGCATGTGTCTTTTTATCTGGAGAATATACCAAGATATCATTGATAAATACCACCATAAACAGATCGAGGTATGGTTGAAAATTTCGATTCATCAATTCCATAAACACAGCCGTAGCGTTGGTCAACCCAAATGACATAACCGTAAATTCCTAATGACCGTATCTAGTACGAAAAACTGTCTTAGGAATATCATGCTCTGCAATCCTTAGTTGGTAATATCCAGCCTCAAGTCAATTTTGGAGAATATACTTGCACCTCTCAGTTGATCAAATAGATCATCAATCATCGAAAGAGGATATTTGTTCTTTATCGTTACTTTATTCAGCCCACGGTAGTCAATACACAACCTCAAGCTTCCATCTTTCTTTTTCACAAATAAAATTGGAGCTTACATCGAAGGTGAAATACTTGGATAAATATATGCATTGTCTAATGATTCATGAAATGACAACTTAACCATGGGGAGCTCAATGGTACCCTCTGATGTGGGGTTTTTTTATCACTCCACCACACTTAAAACATGTCAATAAACTTTTATCACAACGGGTACTTGAATGACTTGTTTCACAACATCGACAAATAAACCCCGATTGTTGAAACCTCTCTTGACTCAGTTCTTTAATTGAAATCCCCTTATACGATGACCCAGACCTGAATATTTGCCACAACTTCTTTTTACCCTTTGGCTCATCCTCCACCCTAGCTTTTCCTTTATCTCGAAACTGATGTTGATACCCCATTTCTTTCTCACTGTTCTTCTGCTTGACTTTCTGCTTCTGATAGAATCGAGCAGCAAGCTCGTAAGCCTCATACAACGAACTGATATCCAACACAGATAAAGCTTCTTGAATCCTCTGCTGCAACCCATCTACAAAATGATCAATTCTATCTCGCCCATAGGAAAAGTAGTCAGGAACATACATCTCAAGCTCATTGAACTTTACAAAATAGTCCTCGACTGGCATCGAACCCTGCTTCAAGTCCAGCAGCTCTTGCTTCTTTGCTTTTCGAACATGTGACGGTGTAAACCTAACTTTTAATTTTGTTTTGAACTCATCCCAAGTCATATCCACTTGGTCCACTCCCGTATCTTCCTCACCTAACCACCACCGATTTGCTCGACCTTCCAAGAAATAAGCCCTGATATTGGCTCGTTGATCTGGTGGAACATAAACAACACGAAATATCATTTCCATCTTCTCAACCCAGAATTCAAGAACTCCAGGCTCTACAGAACCAGAATATGTTGGTGGGTTATGCTGCATCACAGCATCAATAAAACTCCTCTGTTGAGGCATCATCGCAGTTTGTGGCTGTCGGAAGAAATCTGGACTAGGTGCCTCTATTCGTAGATACTCTAGCACAAAATATTATGACTTATCAAATGAAGGATGTAGCTCTGGGAATCGAATAGCCCTACGTAAACCATCACCTCGAGAATTCGACATACTGCCCCCGACTTCTCTGATTCAATATCAACTCAGCAACACAACTAAACCAGGTATAACATTAAAGCATAAACCGCATTAACATGAATGCACACACAAAACCCAAACCTCGCCAAAACAATTCAATATCATTATTACTTTCAAAACCTTTGTTTAATCCCAAGAGCAAAAAATCTACCAAACCTATGCTCTGATACCAACTTGTAACACCCCTAGTTGGCTCATACTGGAAATGCTACCGCCACACTGCATTATGAGGTCGTCATCTGCTACTTCGGGCCCCACAATACAGTGTTAAGGCTAAAATTAACCATAAAAGCGCATTATTACATAACAAAATCTGACTTATGAATATTTACAAAACACACTCCTAAACAAGAGGTTTTTCCGGTTAAAAATTTACATATAATACAATAGATGTAAGTTCACTCACTCAGCCCGTCTTTCTATATCCCGAGACATCCCCTGTCCCGGAGGTTCCATGCATACCTGAAACAAATATTTTTCTTAAAAGCAATCTAAAATTAAATCCATTTTAAGAACTAACGTGAAATATGCCATTTCATACCTTTTAAAATAAAGTCTAATTCTTTTCAATCATAAAATACGTGTCATGTCATACCAATAGTGAAATGATGCAACAAAGATATCAAACTAGACAACAATGCACATGCACAAATCTATATACATCCGTCGAAATGAGCAGCCGGAATAACCTCGTCTCCATAATAATAGGCTCACTGCGTTTGTCTATGTGAGCAGCCGGAATAACCTCGGCTCCATAATAATAGGCTCACTGCATCTGTCTAAGTGTGTAGTCGGAATAACTTCGGCCCCGTAATAACAAGCTCACTAGATCATCATCAATAAATAGCCGGAAAATCATCGGCTCAAGGAAGGATCTGATAAACCCATTATAATATAACGGTCATCCGGTCACTTTCATATACCCACCATACGACTCCCACAATCAATACATGGATAGCCGAACGTTGTCGCCATTAACCACAAGATGCCCCATAGTCTGTGATAGCGAAGATAGGACCCCCACTGACTAGCCATATCCTGTGTAATGTAGTAAAATCCATGCAACTTGGAATCACCCAAGGGAAACCCGGAAACTCTACTCCTCCTCGTGTGCCTTAACGGGATCACGTTTGGAGTTTGGCATATGATTCTAAACTACCTGTAGATCTCACCAGTGATCAGTCCAATGAGTGGAACAACACCTAATATGAATGATTAGACCAAATACGTCTCAACTACTATGGATCTAATCCCTGAATGACCGTGCGACTAAGTCACCCAGTTGTCCGACTACTATTGTCCACTATCGCCAAAGTGTTACGGTACATCGGGGTCGAATATCCTAACCCCAGATGATGCCATCGCCTAGCACTACCGCACACGGTGACTAGACGATAGATCCATAAAATATATCCGATACACCTGCAATATGTGGGCAACATGCCAAATAAGTGAATTTACCGAAAAGGGCTAGTGAGACAACTCACCTATCCTCCTTTTCATAAATTCACCAATGCGATCAAATACGTATATCAAATACCATAAACCGTGAAGTCTCCCATGTGCATACACACACATATATATAAATATATACATGCACTGACAAAATGATTTACATAATATCACATTAACATATTAATCAGAATCTCATGCAACATGCATATCTAATTTCTTAAAATTAGATTTAATTCCTTACTGCTTACCTCTTATCGTCACTCTCTAGCTTTTGCAATCTCACCCAAATCTCCTTCAACGTACACTTGCCCTATTATTTACTCAAATCAGATGAGCTATATGATTATTAACATGAGCTACCTGCTTATTCAAAAGCTAATTTCTATAATTAGCTCGTTGGGTTTCAAATTTTTATATTTAGTAGAATACGATATTCTAGCTATAAAACTCTTATACCTCATAATATTTATATCGCCCGATTATTAAATAAAAATATTTAAAGATATGAATAAACAGGCAGGTGCAATATACTGCCGTTTTTAATTCAGCTCAGATCGATACAAAATTCTCAAAATATAATGCTAGGACTACGAATAGACTATCAGCTAAAGAAATTAGTCGATTAAATAGCCAAATAGCCGGTTATGAATTTTTTGAAAAATTTCTAATTCAATATCCCCATATCAAAATTTATATTAAAATCCATAATTAAATTCTACGTATAACAAGGAATACAATACCGAAGTCGGAATCGAAATTGAACGGCTAAATCTTTTTCTTTCTTCTTTTCTTCTTCTTCCTTCTTCTCCTTCGCGTTTCTTCTTATGCCTTCCTTCGCTTCGCAGGTAAGGTTTGATTTATATATATAATTATATTATATTATATTATTATTATTAACATTATTATTGTTATTAATGTATCGTATCAACTGATACACAATTCATTTTTATAATAATAAGAAAATATAAGTTCATTAAGTTGCATATTTTGAGCATCTAAATCTGACATTACGGGAAACTCGAAAACAAATATCCGTAACAATGTGGAGATTGGTGAGGCACTCCTTTTCGACTGCGCTTTCATTTTGATGTTCTAGATATTGAAGATTGTTCTACGGTTGTTTCAGGAAACTCAGAATTATTCCTTCCATGCACAAGCGGTGGTTGTATATGGTCCCGCGTCAAAAAAGTTATGAAACTGAAAAGAATTTACAAAGAAACTATAAGAACCGAGCATGGATTCTAATGATATAAACAATCATTTAAAATAAAATATAGTAGAAGAAAGAATGCAATAACTTTACTAACCATACAATTGATTAGGACACAAAAAGGTATGATCAAGTGTGCATTTTACATGTATCATCTTATGTACAATAGATCTATCAAGTTTGTGATTTATTATTTTTAGTTTTCAAAAGATTGTTCTTTATATATACCCATTAAATTTTGTGATGATCTAGAATTCTATTTTAAAACTTTTTTGAGGTTGTATTTTCATTCCATAAGAATCCTAAAAAAAAAATTTATTACTAAAGTTTACAATACTTAAAAGAAAATAAATTTTACTATCATGTGGTAGAGATTATTTTTAATGCATGTGAACACATAGTTCTAACAAGATAGAGAATAACATTACCTTGCATGCAATAATATCTTCATCGTTTTTCGGGAGTGTTCTCGTACATAGTCGACATGCCTTTTTTTCTTTAACAAATGCACCAGATCCTGTGTGTGGAAATGGATTTAGTGCTAAAACTGATGTTTTCTTGCATTTATAAACCTACAATCAATAGTAGTTGACTATTGTTAATAAATGATGAAGATACAATTTCTAAAAAAAAATGAATTTAAAATATATTCCATAATTCAATTTATAATAACTTACATTTAGGAATAAAAAAGTTCAAAATGCACTGTCCTTAGCCTCATTGCTCTAAAGTTTAATTAATATTTATATTATAAATTTAAAATGAATTATTATTTTTTGAAATAAACAAACTCTTCTAGTCGTGTTCTTTTTCTATCATATATTTTGTGAAATATTTATTATTGGCTATTAAAAATTGCAAAATAATTTAAATGAAATATACTATTTTGGATAAATCTTCTTTATTATTTTGAAAATGTTTGTGAAAAAAAAAAATAGTATATTTTATTTAAAAATATGGGTAAAAATTTGTTTAAATAAATACGAAAGTTTTACTACAAGTTCATCTAAGTATAAAATTATCTATTTTGGTTTTTGAGATTTGCACTGTATTAAATTTTGTATATGGATTCTAATTAAATCCACTTGAAAATAACTTATTTATTCAAATTTTAATGTAGCTATAACTTTAACTATCTTTAACAATTTTTTTATTTTACCTATATTTTAACATTCCTTTATATCATTTCAACAATAAAATCTACACGAAATTTGCATCCAATAATTATTTTCCATACCATACGAAAATTAATCTAAACAATTAAAAGATCCTAAATCTTAAGTAAAACTTGGCATTAGAACAAAGCACTAGTGTGTACCTGAATATTTGAATAATCAATTTGCCTTGTTTCATCCATGCGAACGGCAGCATTGTAGAAATGCTTGACAATTGGTAGCACATCATGCCTTGAGTGAAAGCCAGATTCAATGCAATACTGGCATGCTAAGTTGTCACACTCTATGCAATATCGGTTTAATTCATTGATATGGTCTTTATGAATCGCGCAGTTCTCAAACAATAATTCCGTTTTCGCCATAAGTTTTGGAAGCCATCTTGGCACGCCATTGTTGTTTTGGTGAAGTGTGTTGTTACCCTTAACAGAAAGAAAATAAATAAATAAATAAATTCGTTCAAATAAAATAAAATAAAAGTCATGAATAGTTTTTAGTAACAGGTTTACAAGAAAATACAAACATTTTAAATATAATATTATAATAAAGATTTTTATCATATGGATATGTATTAACAAAATCACATAACATATAAAAATGAATTAAAACGTATATATATAAATTTTTCCTAACTTTAAAGTATGGATTTGCAACCGATTTAAACCATTGATATATTATTTAATTAATACAGTGCATCAAAAAATATCATCTAATTTTAAAGAATTGGTTAATTTTATATTAGAGTTCTGAGCTTCTTATTGTTAACTTACGACATATATTATGAAATCCTAAAAAAATCAAAGACAGCATCATTATGTCATACAAATCTCTATAAATTTAAAGCACCAATTTTTCTCAATTAGAAACAATGGACAATTGAGAACATGATGAAGTAAAAAGAATTACATACCTCTTGAGTTGAAGAACTCATATCAAGAAATTGAAACTAATACAAGAAAGAGAAAATGATGAGTTGGTATAATAGTACT